TATTGTGAAGGATAGAGTTAAATGCTCTGTACAAATATGTCTCTCAAGACGTGATAGTTACTACAGTTTTTTTTTCTTCCTTCTACAAAATATACCTCAAAAAAAGAGAATAGAAAAAAAAAGAAAAAGAAAAGGAATAAATAATCTGGAACATATTTCAGCACTTCTACTATATTTTGTGCAAGCTAGTGCAATTCATTTTGGATGACATGTTAGTGGCAAAGCTTTGACAGCATTACAGAATATGAGGGAATAATTGTAAACCCAGAAATGACAATTTATTTATTTATAAAATATGAAATATGAAATATAAAGCACAGAATATCATAGAAATTGTAAGCTTGAAAAGAATGACTGCAGTACTGGACTGGTCCTGCGACAATGTTTGAACAGTTATTCAGATTTCGTAAATTCCATGCAAAGGCAGGTGGAATTGAAAACTTGCTTTCTTATTTATTTTTTAAATAATTGCCATTATATCTGACTAAAATTATTGGACAGCTTTAAGGCACTTTTTATCTGTGTTTAATATTAAGATTAATATTAGCCCCCTGCTGAAAAATGATTCAGGTTCACATTCAATTTTAGAAATATCTTTTTTGACATGTTCAGATGGCATAAGTGCAAATGTAATATTTAAACGGAAGTAGAATTACTTGGTCCTTGTCTTGCACAAATGTAACTAGAAGTGGTGAAATGCATTATTAATCTTTTCGTCACTTCCTTGAAGTAAATAATTTGTTATATGTTTGCTTTGGACATACAGTACACCAAGGAAGTACAGTAGATATTGTGCAGACTAATGAAGACATCAATATAACAGAAAAATGAAATAGTCCTTATTCTAATCAGTTGAAAAAAGATTACCAGTCTTCTTGGTTACTTACAAAAGTGAACCTCCAAAATTAGCTTGAATCTTTTTGAAAAAAAAAAAAGTAAAAAAAAAATAAAAATAAGGATATTGTATTCTAATCTTTACTATTTGCCATCCATCACATCTCATCTGATGACATGGCAAACAAAGTTTGTGTTATTTGAATTAATGATAAGTTTAGTATTTCTGAAGGATGTTAATTGTCTCTAGTGTTCACTAACAGCTGCTGATCTGCTACCTACAGTGAAAGCTAATCGAGCGCGTGTTAGTGTAGTTTAACCGATGGTGAATGTATGATTTGCTCTTAGAAGTTCAGATTTATCTGGATATTTTCAATGTGATGTTTCTCTCTTTTACGCGCCGATGCGAACAGCTCCAAAATGAATCTTCTTCGTGAATTGAATAATGAGGTACAGCTTAATGGGAAACTGAATGAAATCTCATGCATTACTTGAATAAGGCTGAATATCCAAGCAGGAAACACTAGGGGAAATTCTGTGCATAGAGATTTGTAGTAGCCATTTTGAGTTTAGAGGATTTGATTTAAGTGCCCAAAGGGCTGTTTACTTTGTCTTTCCTTTCTCTCTTTCTTGTATACAAGTCTACGTGAAAACGACTGCTCAGATATCTCACAGTAAATTTGAGCTATTGAGTATTAGGTCAGCAGACTCCATTGCTTATTTCTATGTACGTCTGCGTCATTAGGTGTACACGATTCGTAAGGCTGCTTTAATCGTATAGTCTCTGAGAGGAGAAGGGCAGTGTTTGTTTTTAGATATTCCTGATTACCTGTCTTTAGCTGTCGGGAGAGACGTGTTAAACTTAGACTTAACTCTGTTTTTGCTACATGTTTTGTCAAGTTCTGTCAAGAACTCATTGCTAACAAGTCCTACAACAACCACATAATGTTTACATGATCTAGAAATATAACGTGCAAGGATGTAGGCACATTGTACACATTATGACTTGGTGCTATGTCTTTTTGAACTCGTGGTGCTGTGGTTCAGAGGTTAACACACAAACTCAAGCACAGTCCTCTGTCTTAAACTAACTAAACTAGCTCCGTCGTGATTTCCGTTGTCGAGTTCTCCTGGTGAGCAGGACTGCAAGCAATAAAGCCTCACAGGGCAGGTCCTGTGCGCTCACTATCTTTCAGTATGAAAACGGTTAAAGTTGTTAAATAAAGTTCGGCTTTTGACATTCAATATGTGCTTACATTATCGCGTGAACGTTCGCCGTCACCATGAATAAAAACCTGCGTATTTAGAAAGATTTATAAAGAAGAACTTGCCAGTCTTGAGGAGGCAACATATCAATGTATAATCCATGAAATGTACCCACGGTATGATAGTAAATTTTTCATTTAGCATGTAAAGTACCTGGTAACTCAAGTAGGTGGAGGTCTGACACGTCAAGCGGCGGCATTTCTGTTTTATAGTTTTTTTTCTTGGACACGATGGAGCGATGCATCCTCGCATAAAGCTGTCACGCTGATTTAAGATGCACATGCAGTGTCGCTGTATATCTGCGGATGGTGATTGACGGCATTTTATTCAGCTCTGGTCTTTGAAGGGAGAACTCGACTGAAACGTTTCTCTTGAATATATACGATACTGTACAGGTAGATACGCCCCCCTTTGCTTGTGTAAGAGAGCTCATTTGCAGGAAGTGTCATATCAACTCTTTGATTGCCTGTAGCCTATACAGTTTTGTGCTTCTTATGGTGCTTCGTGAAACTTTTTTTTTTTTTTTGTGTTGATTGAACAGAACCTAACCTTGCATAATCAAGATATTTCACTCATTCGGACCTATCTGTCTTGTTTCAGATAATGTACATCTTTTTGTTCTCGATTCTTTTGCTGTTCATATTAACCAGCACTGAAAACTTAGAATGTAATACTGCATTATGCACTAATTTACGACTGTTTTAACATTAAACCTCATACTTAGAGCTTATTGGAAGCATATTTCAAATTGCATTGTGCTTTTTAACTGCTTTTGAATTTGTGTTGTACATTGTTTACAGATTATATTATCTAAAGATGTGTTCTGGGCAAACATGTTTTTCATCCTGATCACTTTACATGCAATGTATAAGAGACTGTTCTTATGTGAAGAAGAAGATCATAGATTTTTTTTTTTTTCAGAATTATTTGATTGAATGACCTGATCGAAGGCTTCTTTTGTTAATTAATCCCATTCATTTCAGGTATTATTCTTAAACAGTATGGTGCTGTACCAACGCCTTATGTACAATATTATTATGATGCATTGTTCGATTCTTCTGCCACTGCTAAGGAATTCTCCAAATTGCTAGACAACTCTGATTATGAAACAAGGTGCAGTGTGCCTCTATCTTCTTGTCCCTGATTAGTACTTCGCAGTATTTTTCTTGGGCATTCGGTGTCTCCACATACTCAGATGTTAAGATATGGTGCCTGGTGTGTCTTCATGCTGCTAGGAGTAAATGTTAAAGATGTTTTGTATCTGTACTACCAACTATTTAAGTATGACATTGACCTCCACAATAACTCAGCTGGACACTTCGATTAAGCATCTTGATATTAAAAGGGAACAACCCTGGAGTAAGCAAAGGCATTTTTAGAGAATAAAGGCAATCCCATTGTTATTTTATTTTGATTCTATTGCTTTCATCATTTTTTAATAAGTCTTGCTCTAGAATAAGACCCCAATCAAAAAGAATATGCTATCCTGACAAATGAATTATCCTTGTGAGTTACATCAATACCAGACCTGGGAATGAAACATATGGAGTGTTAAAAGTGTGTGTGTGTGTGTGTGTGCTGTCTTTAACAGCCCAATTGAAGTTCTGTATAGCGGAGCCGTTCAATTTGCATTGTTTACATCACCAGATAAGCCCAGATATGCACATTTTGGCAAGCTCTATTAGGTTGACATTTCCCAACGCTTTGGTCCATGTAATAACCCCGTAAAACTTTTTGTATTTTGATATAATAAAAAAACCAACAACAATTATATATATATATATATATATATATATATATATGTATATATAAGAGTGTATTTATTTCTTGACGAGTGATTTTTGACTGTTCGTATCTGCAGTGACCACTAGAGGCCACTGTTGCATATGTTAAATCTGATGGACTTACATTTCAAGCAAAATGCCTTGGAGGGAAGGTGTTTTCCAAAGGGTTGCCACAATGACTGATAATGTTGTCATGTAGGAAATTAAGTGTTCATCCAGGTGCAAAGTCCTCAACCAACACAACTCCCTCTCACACACACCTATTTATCTGAGGTGGGTGACACAAAACAGATAACACTGTGGCCCTGGCATTGGCCAGATAATTGAATAATTATCGTGATGATGTTGATGATGATTTCCCAAGGTAAAGTTGAAATAGACTGCTAAGTTTTGTTTAAACCTTCTATTGTCTTTGGGACATCTTTGCTTTAATGAAACAGTTGTGACCTTTTATCTTTGACCATTCAGAACATTATGAAGTTGTAGATGGCGTTTTTTTTTTCTTTTTTAAATCTGTGAACCAAATTAGACCTTAACAAATATTAAATTGTCTAAGATATTTATTACATTTCACATACTGTTCTCAATGATAGTTTGGCTTAGTTTAAAGGGATAGTTCACCTAGAAATGAACATTTTGTCATCATTTACTCCTCTTCCCGTTGTTACAAACGAGTATAACTTTGTTCTGTGAAGCACGAAAGAAACTATTTTGAAGAATTAAAACTTAGATTTTTCTCAATACAGCTTTTATGTTCCAGAGAATAAAGAAATTCATACGATTTGGAACGACATGAAGGTGAGTAAATAATGACAGAATTAGCATTTTATTGGGCGAACTACCATATGGTACATGGGGCACGAGGACCGTCATAAAAAAAAAAAAAAAACGAATTTTATTTGTAACCCCTTACAGCTGTAGTCCAGAATTCTTTAAATGTGTATTTCTCCATCAGTATTTAATGAAAAACCTGAATCAAAACTTTTCCTTGAGGGAAGTATTTTGTTCCTCTGTAGAACAATCATGAATATTTTAAGGTTTCCAATGTTGGTCAACTGACTCAAAATCTCAGGCGTGTTCTTTTAAGGACAAACAAGTGATAAATGGATCCTACTGATATCCACCTTGCTCCTTAGCCACGCCCCCAAACACACGCGTTCACTCAGTTAATCAGGTGATGCGTGAGAACGAACTTTCATGTGTCCTGTCCTGACTCGATGCACTCGCGCACATCTACGTTCACACGATGAAGGAGGCATTGGTTTGACTCTTTTTCACACGCATTCATAATGGCTCTGTGCTAGAGGGAAACAACTGTAGGATTTCGTTTGGGAGAGGAACGCTGAAACAATCACAGACAGGTGAGTGACTAGTATATATATATATATATATATATATATATATATGTATATATAAGAGTGTATTTATTTCTTGACGAGTGATTTTTGACTGTTCGTATCTGCAGTGACCACTAGAGGCCACTGTTGCATATGTTAAATCTGATGGACTTACATTTCAAGCAAAATGCCTTGGAGGGAAGGTGTTTTCCAAAGGGTTGCCACAATGACTGATAATGTTGTCATGTAGGAAATTAAGTGTTCATCCAGGTGCAAAGTCCTCAACCAACACAACTCCCTCTCACACACACCTATTTATCTGAGGTGGGTGACACACAAAACAGATAACACTGTGGCCCTGGCATTGGCCAGATAATTGAATAATTATCGTGATGATGTTGATGATGATTTCCCAAGGTAAAGTTGAAATAGACTGCTAAGTTTTGTTTAAACCTTCTATTGTCTTTGGGACATCTTTGCTTTAATGAAACAGTTGTGACCTTTTATCTTTGACCATTCAGAACATTATGAAGTTGTAGATGGCGTTTTTTTTTTCTTTTTTAAATCTGTGAACCAAATTAGACCTTAACAAATATTAAATTGTCTAAGATATTTATTACATTTCACATACTGTTCTCAATGATAGTTTGGCTTAGTTTAAAGGGATAGTTCACCTAGAAATGAACATTTTGTCATCATTTACTCCTCTTCCCGTTGTTACAAACGAGTATAACTTTGTTCTGTGAAGCACGAAAGAAACTATTTTGAAGAATTAAAACTTAGATTTTTCTCAATACAGCTTTTATGTTCCAGAGAATAAAGAAATTCATACGATTTGGAACGACATGAAGGTGAGTAAATAATGACAGAATTAGCATTTTATTGGGCGAACTACCATATGGTACATGGGGCACGAGGACCGTCATAAAAAAAAAAAAAAAACGAATTTTATTTGTAACCCCTTACAGCTGTAGTCCAGAATTCTTTAAATGTGTATTTCTCCATCAGTATTTAATGAAAAACCTGAATCAAAACTTTTCCTTGAGGGAAGTATTTTGTTCCTCTGTAGAACAATCATGAATATTTTAAGGTTTCCAATGTTGGTCAACTGACTCAAAATCTCAGGCGTGTTCTTTTAAGGACAAACAAGTGATAAATGGATCCTACTGATATCCACCTTGCTCCTTAGCCACGCCCCCAAACACACGCGTTCACTCAGTTAATCAGGTGATGCGTGAGAACGAACTTTCATGTGTCCTGTCCTGACTCGATGCACTCGCGCACATCTACGTTCACACGATGAAGGAGGCATTGGTTTGACTCTTTTTCACACGCATTCATAATGGCTCTGTGCTAGAGGGAAACAACTGTAGGATTTCGTTTGGGAGAGGAACGCTGAAACAATCACAGACAGGTGAGTGACTAGTGTTGATTTTACCTCTGTTTGCTTGCGATTTGCATCTGCACTTGTAAATATTACAATATATTATCCATAATGCAAATCGCGCCTTTTTGCTAGTGGTCAAGTCAAATCTAGCCGCGCCGTTATAATTTCCTTAATTACCTCCATTTTATTCACCCTAAAACTGTTTAGCCCTAGTTACGAAACATAGACACAACGAGTCTTGATCAGAGAACTCTAAAGACCCTGACCGGTGTTGTGCCGAATTCTGCACCCCTGCCAGATTATGCACCCCCTCCTTGAAGTCGCTACCTGATTGCCTAATCCCAGCCCCACCCCTAATCCCAACCCCTCCCCTAATCCTAACCCCTCCCCCACACCTACTCCTAAACCTACCAATATTAGGGGGTGCATAATCTGGCAGGGTGCAAATTTCGGCACTACACCGGAAGCGCTGAAGTCACATGCTGTTGCCCATGACAACAGTGCTCATTTTATTGCTACCAGCCAAAAGCAAGATTTCAACATCACTATAGAATAAAGTTTACTTCTACACCTCCTTAGTCACGTAACAATAAACGCATACTTGTGAATGAATAGGCCTATTAACCTTTTTCCTGTCTGAAAACATTCCACGTCAGATATTCAGATATCCAAGACTGACCGATTCCAGAAGGATTTCAAGACGATCTGTCACTTAGCAACCACATCAATGTGCAGCTTTCACACAATCCCATACACAAGTAAATGATGTCTCGTGTCTTTAAATCATGTTCAACTGTTCACTGAATTCTAGTGGGGTCCAAAGGTCTATAAACATAAGTGAAAATGTATTTTTATTTTATTTTTATTATATATTATATTTCATACTATTAATATTATCTATCTGTCTATCTATATCTACACACACACACATATATGTAATTAATGATGTTATGAATATTTTTATATAATTTTTTTATATTAGGAATATTCAAAATAAAATTGCAATAATAAAAATTACGTAAACATTATATAGGCCTAATATATAAAATTACTATTATTATTATTATTCAAAATATTATAAAGATTTAAAATATTTTGTAATATAATTTTATTTGTAATAATCTAAATATTTTAAATAAAATTGTGTTAATAAAATTGTAATAAAAAATATATATGATTAAAATATTTTGAATATAATTTTATTTTGAATATGATTAATATTGAAAATAAATTAATAATACAATTTTAAATAAATTATTATTAATAATTATTTAATTTAAAATACTATTTAAAATCAAATTTAAATCCCAGATTTTTAATGTAGTTTTAGACATTCAGACCCTTTTGTATTCTTATATGTATGCAAAACAAAGAATACAGACCACAAACTGTTGCTCATATTTTGAAATACTGAATTCCAAAGCGTCTTCTCACAACCTGTTCAAAAGAATGAAATAATCGTTATTTAAGTCGCCGTACAGGCTGTGTAAATAGGTTTGGATTAATCACTAGATCACCTGTGTGTTTATGTATTCAAGGTGAATCTAACCCTCTCAGGTACCTGCATGCACACATGGTGCTGTCTTTCCTGTCAGGGAGCGTTCATTCTGCTGAGTCAACATCAAGCTTCTGCCTGTCAGCACTTCTGATAGTAGGGCCGGAGTGTGAGAGGAATATTTTGTCGTTTTCATATCTCGTTACTCTATCAGAACCAATAGATCATAAATTATGTGCATGTCAATTTTCATACAGGTGGTTAAACTCTCTCTGTGGGTGTGTCACAATATTCCAGCATTCCTTTTGTTTGTACTTCACACTTGAATTATTGATGGCATAGCATATAGTTGCTTTAAGTCTTGTGCAAGCCCTGTATTCATCACGGTCATGCATCACTGAACATGGCACAAACTGTTCTCGCCATTGATTTTCTTTTGGTTCATTTGTATTTCAAGGTCCACAGTCGCCATTTAGCCAACTGATTTTTGCATGAATTCGAGTGCATTCTTTATCAGTAGTTCAATGCGACTATGATTTAATAGCTATATTTATAAACATCCACCATGTGCAAATAGATGTTTTTATAACTGGTTTACCTGTTTTACATTCATTCATTCCTTCCTTCCTTCCAATTAATATAGCTAATTTATGGAAATATAAAGTAACTAAGTCTACCACCTGCGCACATAACAGACTTTGCTTGCTTGTTTGTTTAAATTAATATTGCCTTTGTCACAGTAATGGCATTATAAAGTAAACAAACAAGCCCACCATGTACATACACATTCATTCATTCATTCATTCATTGCAATTAATATATCCTTTGATGCTGTTATGTTAATAAAAATAAGTAAATAAATCCACCATATTACATATCTATTTATTTATTGCAGTGAATATAGTATTTGATGCTGTTATGGCAATAAAAGGAAATAAATCCATCATGTTCATAAATAAATATTATTTTTATTGCAATGAGTATAGCCTTTGATGCAATCTTCAAATTATTTTGACAGATAGTTTACAATGTTTAATGACATTTGTAAGCATTTAATTTACATGAAATAATGATCGGTTAATCATTAGGTAATGTTTAATAAGTTTATTAGTAAACATTAACAAGCACATTATTTCATGTTTCTAGCTGTTTGAATATATATTAACTAATGAATTGTTTTTTAAGGATTTATTAATGAAACTTATTATAAAGTGTTACCCATTTGGTTATTTATTTATTGCGAATGATCAGCCTTTGACGCTGTTAATAATAAAAAGTAAGTAAATAAATTCACCATGTACGTGCATAACACGCATGTCCATATCACAGGCCTTCATCCTTTGCCAAGGTTGGAGGTTTATGTTAAAGTGCGGTCTCCTCCCTCCCCTCACAGACAGGCAGCTGTTGCAGTGACTCAGTATCATGGAGGCTTGCAGCGGGACTGCAGCAGCGACACACGGCAGAGTTCCAACACCTCTGAGAGACGCATGCAGTCATGATCCCTGTGAAGGGTGAGTAACAGCCTGCATACTTCGCCTCTCAGTGTGCAGTGTGCCCGACTACGGTTAGATATGCCGTATAGCGTGTGTCTGCCTGTGTGTTTCTCTTGCAAGGTTAGATGAGGCATTTTCTTTACATTTGGCTGAATCTCTGCATAATCAGGTGCAGTGCATGGTTTGGTTTTTGCACAACACAGGCGTTTTATGTGTCATGTGACCGGTCACCTTATTCTATTTATTTCAGCAGCACTGCATGCAGCAGATGTGAATTTGTCCCCTGGGGAGTAAATTATAGTGGTGATTTGTGTGCAACTGGTACCCTACAGAGATGATAACAAGGACAGTAGAGTCATCAATGAATTGTTGTACCACCCCAAGGAAGCAGGCATGGCTTATTGTAATAGTCAGTGACATGACACTTCTTTTATACTATGTTAATTTATTCATTAAATATGCAATTCATATAAAAAGAGCAGGGTGATAACTATTCTGATATCATCATCAAGTAAAAGCGTGATTAAAAGAATTTAAGTCTTGAAAGGAAAACCTTAGCATTAAGTACTACATCGAGTACTGTAGTTAGTATTTTATTATTATTTTTATTGAAAAAAAATTGCTTATTAGGCTAATATTAGACATTTTTGTCCGCCAGATCCAAGTCATGTTATGCAACCAATATGCAAAAACTTGCTGTGGGGGAAAAAAACACATATAGGCTAAAACAGGAAACTATATAAAGTAGGGCTGCACAATTAATCGAATTTCTAATCGTGATTACAATTACGGATGCCACAATTACGTAATCGTTCAAAGCGGCAATTAATCGTTCAAAGTCCACTTATGTTATTCTGCGTGCTTAAGATGCGTTTTTTCTTTCTACATGTTATCTTAAGGGTTTTTCCCATTATTTTAATTTTAGTTTTAGTATAACATTATAATACCATTCATATTTTTACTTTTTTTATAATCTGAAGAAACCAATCCGATGTATAGTTGACATTTGAGGCTTAATACTGTAGAAAAGCACTAAACGTTTTTCAGTTAGTGTTTTCAGCTTGTTTATTTTCATATAAAATTACGGCATGCAGTTGCATAAAACAATGGTATAAACATCATTCAATGTAAATTGTGATAATCGTAATTAATAATCGCAATTACAATTTCAAGGGAATAATCGACAATTATGATTTTTGTCATAATCGTGCAGCCCTAATATAAAGACCATTGCAGACCCTCATCAAGTCAAAAATATATCAATAAAAATGTCAGATAATTTCATATTTTTATGGCAAGGTTAGTTAGTGATATTTTGTAAGAAAAAAAAAAACCATTGTAACCCCCCCCCCAAGCTTAAAATGTAGCTTTTTTTAAGATAATGATTAAGATTGATTACTTATATTAAAGTTAGTACTTTTTACTTGACATTTTAGAGTCATTAAATTTAATCTTTTTTTTTCAAAACCATATTAAATTGTGAATGCAAACATAAATGATTTTTATTTTCTTTTCTTTTGTATTAGTAGTGTTAATTTTGCTAACTGTGCCAAAAAAAAAGTAAATCCAGGTATGACCAAGTTGTGTATTCAAGGTGTCGTATTGGACATACTAGATTAACTCATGGACATTTATTGATTGGTGAAGACGCACCAAAATATTGCAGGACTCACTTGACGGTGAAAAATGTTTTCTACTATATTTTTAATGTATAATCCTTGCCATGAAATAGCCTGTGAAGCTGATGTGGCGATAAACTTAAATTAAACTGAAACTGTGGCAAAAAAAGTTCATCTACAACCCTTTTTCATTGATAACGATAAGACTGTGACAAGATCAGTAAATAATAATAATGTGACCATATCAACATGCAATATTTTTGATGACAATACGAGACTAATATGTAGTTTAAAATATAAACACTTTCCCAAAAAATCTCTATTGTTCAGCAACCAAAAAAAAGAATAGACAAATAGTTTTAAGTTCCAATCCAAATATCCTGTTCATTCGATGACACGAGCAGCAGTTTTTCAAATGATAACAGTCGTGACTGATAATTGCATTTTTTATAATAATAACAGTCGTGATTGTTTAACCATTATCGTGCAGCATGACTAAATGTGACTAAAATGTCAACGATTTTCATTGACTCGAACAATAGAGACAAAAAACACAGGTTAATATCGACTAAATATGATAAAAACTAGCATTACTTTATTGTGAACACTCTCATAAATCATTGACCAGTAGATTGTAATTTAGAACTCACTATGCTGCCATTATGTCGCACCTGTGACTTTAAAATGACAGTAAACTTTTGCCTCTTTCTTCCATGAACAGGGTCAGGCATTATCGTTCAGTCTCACAGTGGTCTAATCTGTTGGAGGAAGGGGGAGTGTGGGATGTTCTGGAACAAAATCACTGACTCTGTCTTTTGTCTTCTGAATGAATCGTCTAAACTCTAGCCTTTTATTCCCCTTCTAAAGGCTTTCCAATCCTTAAAGCTGTTCCAGCTCACCTTTCCTTACCCCTGGAGCGCATCATATTTCAAGTTACACTTTAGCCCTGTTCTTTGTTATTTAGGGTGATCCATTTGTGACTGAGTGACTGACTGATTGAAAAACATACAATAGTGTGCTTTTTACGGCCACTGATCTGATCTTCTATAATGTCTCCTTGTTTCGACCCTCCCGGCCATGCTCTCGGCTGCAGGGTGAACTGGGAAATGCACTGGAGATTTTCTGAAATGAACAGATCATTTCATGATGTGAATGTGAAATGAAGGGTGAGCTTGTACTTTTAGAGACTAGAAATGAATGTAACTTTTGGGTATAATTCATTACGATTGGCTTATGGATAGAGTGTTGTTTTCTCACATAATAGGTTTGTGTATAATCTGATTGATCAGAAGAGCAGTTTAACTATTACACATCCTAAACGGCTTGGTTCTATCCATTGGTTGTTGATTGGATAGAAGCTGATCTGATTGCGAGTTTGCAGTTGGTTTTAAGAAAGGGGAGGGTTTAAGCAGACAAAATGTTTGGAGAAGTCGAGCATCGTTTCACTGGAAGACGTAGTTATGATATTTTAATTAAAATGTATCAATTATTATTTACTCACCCTCATGTTGTTCCTTCTGTCAAACACAAAAGATGCTTTTTGTGATAAATGCCTAAGCTGGGCTTGACGAGGACAGAAAAGCATAAAAAAAATAGTCAATATGGTTTCTGTGTTATATTCCAATTCTTCATATTATCATATAATAGCTTTTTGTGCCGCAACATATTGTAGTGTCAAATTTGAATAATATTTAATAATAATATTTGAGAATTACCACAGAGGGATCATTTTTTTCACCAAATAACAACATAAGGCTGAAATACACTGCACAGCTTTTATAACATAAACATGTTTTAAAACACTAGGCATTACACACTTGCCGATTTTACAAATGATTGTAGAGGAAAAACTTGGCATCATACACGAAGCAAATGAGGATCACACACACTAACAGACTTTTCAAGTTGTTCCGAACACAACAAAGATGCATGACAGATGAAAACGATATGTGCTTTAAAATCTGCTCAAAATGAAAGACGTTTGATATTTTTCATCTGGACAGATTCATAGTCTAAAGCAGGGTTCCTCGAATCTTGCCCTGGAGGGCCAGTGCCCTGCAGAGTTTAGCTCCAACCCTAATAAAACACACCTGAGCAAGCTCATCAAGGTCTTCAGGATCCCTAGAAAATCACAGGTCAGCAAGTTTGATCAGGGTTTGAGCTAAACTCTGCAGGGCAGTGGCCCTCCAGGACCGGATTTGGGGAACCCTGGTGTAAAGCTAAAAGGTTGCGATTTTCTGTTAAATCTGTCAACTTCATCTACCCAAAACCTGCAGACTGCTAGACTCCTCCAGACTGCAAATCAGGGCAAAAGCCATGTAGTGTATTCCAGCCTTCTTTTGTGTGTGTGAGTGTGTGAGTGTGTGAGTGTGTGAGTGTGTGTGTGTGTGTGTGTGTGTGTCTGTTCCCGGTTGTATGGCTTATAGAAGACCTGGAATATAGTGTACTAGTAGTCGTGGCCGACTTTTAAGTATCTTTTTTTTCACTAAATGATTCAATTGATTGGAAAAGGGCAGCTTGAACGTTCTGCAAAACATCTTATTTTGTGTTCTACAGCAAACTCATTTTTGGAAACTATTCCTTTAAAACAATCCTAGCTCAGGAATTTCATTGGTGTAATTGCTTTGTGCCGAGTGATGCGATGTAGATGTATGTATGTCATAGGAGAAGCTTATTTCAACATACCCCTCTCTGATTATCTTTTCTTTAAGGCCACACCCAGAGGAGGATGAGGGGGAGGAAGACAGAAGCTTGCAGTCAGCAGAGACTGCAGGCTGGGAGGACGCCATTGCTGTTATGGTGTGTGTGTGTGTGTGTGTAGTGCCTTTCTGTATGTCACGCTTCATGCATTGTGCTGCATAATCGTTTGTTTACATGTGCGTGTTCATATACGCAGGCACGAGGAGCGCCGATGGTCCCTGAACTGCCTGCCGAATCTTCTCTGCGCTCATGTGCCAGCACGGCCAGCATGAAGGTCAAGAACGTCAAAAAGTAGGTGTTTATACGTTAAAGGGAAGAGTTCTGTCTCTGTTTTGTCTCTTTCAGACACAGAGCAGAATACTGATGAGCTGTTTTTGTTTTGCAGATTGTCCCTCACCAAAGGCCATTTTCCCAGGCTGGCAGAATGTGCCCACTTCCACTATGAGATTGTTGACTTTGGCTCTGTGCAGGTGAGGGTTTTATGGTAAATGCAGTCCTGCTGAAGGCCATGATCACTCATGGTTGACGGGAATGTGTTAATTAGGCTCTTGGCTGTGTTCTTCGTTTCACTGGTGGCGGATTATCCATCATGTTGAAATTAGGGCTGTGGTTTAAGTTACATGCAATACACATTAGTCTCTGTCAGGTTAGTTGCTATCCTGCAAGATCTTCAGACTGTGGAAAACATCTTGGCTAGCTGTTTGGATTTCAACGTCATTGTTCCTCCCCAAAATGTTATATTTATACAAATGTCTTCAGCATTACCACTGTCCATTTTCTCAGATAATGGCAATATCTGTAAACCGATGACTCCCCTATATTACTGTTCAAAAGTTTGGGGTTGGTAAGATTTTAGTTTTTTTGTTTTTGAAGGAATTCTCTTATGCTCACCTATCTTAACTGAATTTATCTGATCTAAAACTACAGTAGAAACTGTTATAATGTTAAAAATGATTACATTTTAAAATAACTCTTGTCTATTTTAATAAATGTTAAAATGTCATTTATTTCTGTGATGGCAACGCTGAATTTTCAGCATCATTACTCCAGTACTCAGTGTCACGTTGTTATTTTTTTAGAAATCATTCTAATATGCTGATTTGCTGTTCAAGAAACATTTCTTATTATCAATGTTGAAAACATTTGTGCTGCTTAACATTTTTATGTGGTAATGAAAATGGTAATACACTTTTTTTCAGATTGTATTTTTTTTTTATTAGTAATTTGAAACAATGTTCAAGATTTTACAATCATTAAGTATTTACTGTCACTTTTGATCAATTGAATGTGTCCTTATCTTATTTAAAAAATCTTGCTGACCCCAAAATTTTGAATGGAAATGTGCATATGCTCAAACATTAATTAACCATATTTATTGTTGTCGCCTGCATTTCCCTTACATTTTTATATTTCTCTGTGTATAATGCAAGTATAACGTATCATGCTCCAAAATAGCCCAGTTTAGTTTTACATTGCCATTTTAATCAAGCAGTTTTTGCTACTGTGCCTTTAAGACTTATGCAAATGATCTCTGTTATGCAAACTTGCTCATACTTTATCAGCACAGGCCAGGATCCTGCATACTTAACAGACAGTATATTAATGTGGTGATATGTAAATGTGAGCAGTAATATGTTATTATTAATATGATGTTCATGGTCATAGTAACCATGATGATTAATGCCGTGGTGGACTGGAAATGCAGATTTGTATCAGTTCTTTGCAGACATACTCTAATGTACACAAAGTCTCTTTAAGGAAAGTCAGTTCATTCAGCAGCCAGCCTGGTCCAGTTATTGTACATGTGCATTCTAGAGTAAAAGAAAAGCCAATTGGCACTTCATTTGCCACTTTTGCTTTTATAAATGGTCAGTCTCCTCCCCTTCTTTTATACTCATAATGTCTCTGATAGAACATCAGACTGGACATTTTTATTTCAACAAATCCACCCCAGCATGTATTTGTCCAGCCAGATTCGCTTGTTATGCAGATGGGTTCCAGCAGAGAGCAGTAAATACCACTGAGCCCCTCCTCAGTCTTTGCTATATGTACATTATCCTGCTCTGAGAGTCGAGGGTGTTGGTTTTCGGTGCATCATGAGCAGGGTATGGCACCATAGCTGAGGAACAGGAAGTTTGGCCTCACGTCCCACAGCTCTGTGCTCTGTGCCTACATCATCCTGCATGTTTCAGCTCTCAAGGTCACACAGACTCCTGTTCTATTAGATCACATTGAGTCTCCTGAGCGCATTACACTGACACACTGTGGCCGGGAGCTGGAGGAGTCCTGAGTCAGATGTGTACCGGAATACAGATACTCTTCTATGCCAGACTTGGCAATTAAGTAAGAAATTTGATGTTTCGGGAGGAATGTCTTTTAGTACTGCTTCTCTTTTGTTGCCTTCAATGCTTCTGTGCATTTCAGCAGTTAAACGATACTATATCAGTGAACGCATATCAGATAGCAGCAATTTCATGCCATGGTGCCTTTTGTCTGTCCGGTGTAAATTAAAAAAAAATGTTTTTACATTAGATTTACAATAGAATAGCTTCAGAAATAAATGCAAATGAACCAGTTTTGTATAATTAGAGTATTCTAATAACACAGTTTTTGTCTGTATTGTTAATTCCACTATACGAATGCCTTTTTTGTTGTTGTTCAATAACTTAATATAATTTCAATAACTAAAATATTCAGACTGTACAAAATTGGTTTTAAATTCTGAACTTATACAGACGCACCATATATAGTTTTATAAATGTTACATTTTATAAATGATAAATTAATATTTTATTTTAATGGAAAACAATACAAACAAAAAACGTTGAATTTTTTTAAAGGTGACATGAAAATCTTACTTTTCCAGGTTTTAAGTGCTATAATCAGGTCCCTGGTGCATCTACCAACCAAGGAAACATGAAAAAGATTAACCCAGTAACTTTGTTTTGGTAAGTCTTTTTCTGCAAGCGTCTGAAAAAACGAGCGCGTCTGATTTCGCTCCCTTGGTGACGTGGCAAAGGGATCTCATTATAATATTACCGCCCCTTAATCTGTAAACTTCCACTCAAGGCACCGTCATTTTGATTTCACAAGCGACAACGGTGTACCAGCTCTAATGCCATGGCGAAAGTTTGAGCAAAACATGCTAACTGTTCTGTCTTTGGCTGCACAGACGAGCACAGAACACTATTTAGAGTCCCAGCCTCAGAGGAGACAAGAGAGCAGTGGATTTATTGATTTATTTAGGCTACTGTATACTGCTGCTGCCACACAGATCTAAAATAAACAAGCGATTTATTTCCCAGCTGTTTACCTTCACAGACATAACCCACTGTTTTTGTAACTCGTGTGTTTTTAACGTAAACTTGTGTGTGAATGAGAACTTAGTTTAGTACAGCCGCTTTCTGTCCGTGTGCTTTGGATGTGTGCTCTCAGAAAACCATATTATTGCAAAAAGGGGCATAATATGTCACCTTTAAACGTGTTTCAGGGTTATAATAGTTAACTAAAATTAAAACTAAAACTATAAAAAACGTGCTGTTTTTTTTTGTCGTCTAATACAATGCTGTTCATAAATTTGGAATTGTAGTTTAAGTATCTGAATACTGTTTTACTGTAGAATAACCTTGTGTTTAGTCCTATAAACCTGTGTTTAGTCCTAGAATAGGGTATTAAGTTAACATCCCTTCTGTGGCATCTTTATGTAGACCTTTGTTGCATTCCCAGAGGTGGTGTGCATGATCCACATTCCTCGGCTCAGGTTTACAGAGGAATTTTCAGGTGGATCCCTGCCTCCTCCCTACTAGTGCAGAGAGAGATAGAGACGGAGGAAGAACTGGGCCAAATTCAGTGATGCTGTAATAAACATTGATTAAGTCTGAGTTTTCCACTATAAATCGTCTCGGAGAGAAGGGAGGGAGCCCTCACTCACCACCATTTCATTACAATGAATGGACCCGATCCTGCAGGTTTCTGCAGGTTCTACAAACAGTGCTGCTGAACTGTGTGAGAAAGCGTTTCCTAAGGGTGGATTGATCTTGAAATATTGATACTTCTGCTATCTGAGCTTAATCCACATGGCTGATAATACTACTGGGTGAGCAACATCAAGGTTTTGTAGTGAAATGGCAATGTATCAAGTCAGTTTTACTGAAAACTGACGATCAAGAGGTTTTGTAGAATATGTTATAGATGGAACCAGATTCAGGATCTACGTTTATGAAGTAGGTCAGCGCTGGATTATGATTTATCATATTTTTGACTGAAGTGGAGCCTGTTTAACTTTTGCTCTCCAAGACTTTGGGCTCATCTCAAAGACATGCAATAAACCTGGCATGTATGCATCTTTAGGGGAAGATGCATCATGTGATTGAATTGCTGACAACCCTTGTGTAATTTATGGCACTGTAGATTAGCCGTGGCTCCAGATGGAGAAAGGTCAACTCATGATCACTAGGTTACTCTTTCTAGCTTTTATGTAACTTGAGGAATTTCCTTGAGGATTATTGCTGCTGAAAAAGCTTTTGCTGGAATTTATTATACAAGTGGAATTTTAAACCACAGATTGTGTGGCAAAAAGCTGTGGCCGTTGACCTTTGGTGTCTACTTTTTACCCATTTTCATCACAGTTGCAAATAACAGACCAGGTGTTACAAACTTAAATGCGCTTATGTCTTTAATTCAGTATTACAACAAGGTTTGAGTAGATTGTTTGCATGATCTGGGATTTAGCTAAAGGAAAAAAAATCGGCATGCTTTTTTCAGAAGAATTTTCCAGACCAGTGGCTTAGACAGGGCCTGTCATGGTAAGGTTACAAAGTGGCATTTTCACCACAGCATTCAGTTTTTAAAGATTGTTTTGAGGTCAACTTGTATGTGGGGTATACTCCTTGAAGTTGTCAAAATAACATACACATTTACAAATGTATAGTCTTTCTCTTCTGGGAATATGACCCAAAAATATTGATGACTCATGGGAAGTTTCTACTTGTGAAATCATAATTACACTGTGCATTTAAGAGGTTTCAGTCAGAATAACATGGGCTCATTGGGCAATTTGTATTTCTCATTTCAGTTTGTTTATAACATCCAGACAAAGACAAGAAGCCTTGAAATCAAAACTGCAATTTGTAATAATTTTTTAAGCCATGATATTACAATAAATAGAAAATAGAAAAAAAAAGATTTTATTTTTTATTATAGTTATTATATCTGTGTACATATATACACAAAAAGTTTCCCACTAATAATCAAGGCATTGTGTAGATGTTAATTTATTTTACTAATTTGGTAAACATGATGAAGACGGATTGTGCTCAAAACACTGCAATTTATTAAATTACATAAAACGTTTTGGGAGCAAAGATAGCAGTGTGCCAGTGTTCCAACTTGACTTTGACGTCATGATTTTTTTTTTTAAAGGACAATTGCTTTTTTTATAAAGTATGTCCCACCTTCATTTCCTGTTTCAGTAGGAAATACATCAAAAATAAATAATAAAAAGAAAATGGTGTTTGTCCAACCATTTTTTTTGTTACTGTTGAAATGGAAATGTGAAATGGAAATGCCTTTATTATTGAGTTATCAAATATATTATTTTTCCTAAACAACATATCATCAGAAAATGAGTCTATATAAAAATCAGTCTATGATATTGAAAATTGTAATAATTTTGTGTATAACGGAGCACAATAATAATAATAATAATAATAATAATAATAATACATGTCAATAATGTTAGTGTTTGATTTTAAGGGTGTTTTTAGTTACTTTTGTAAAATAAACAATTTCAGTAATTAATTATCACCATTGGATGCCTGACGTTAAAATCCCAAAACCATTTTAAAAACTGCTGCACTAAACTACAAACAACATCAGAGATCGATGTACATGTCCTGTTCTGAGATCAGTATCTGAGAGCGCAGCTCCGTTCTGCATGGATTCAGTGGGAGGGGCTAAGATGGGACACCGCATAATGCATATCCCTCTACTGCAGGAGATGAAGAAGGGAAAAGGTCTGTGTTTTAACTGCAGCACATTGCTGATTTTCATTCTGCTGTAAATCGGGCTGTTTGTTTTTGATGAGCTGGGCTGACTGAGCACAGGCTGCTGGTCTGTGGGGGTGTGTGTGACGGGTTACTGCGTCTGCGTGCAGCAGCCGTGCAGAACATCAGCAGAGAGGCTGAATAAGGAAAGGCTCAGGTGCCAGACTATAGGGAACTATCGGGTTGGGCCCGAGCGTGCTGATAAGACGAGACAGACAGCGTATCAGTGAGTATCCATGCTGTTTCATTGGGAGAGGAATAATTACATCCTCTTTGAGGAAATGAAAATCCTTGGCTGCTTTGTCATGTGGCAACAGCCATGCAGTGTAGTGTTGAAAACGCACATATGTATACTAATATATATATACTACACTGTATGTCTTATTTTGTGTGATGTTCTCAATTTGCAATATTTGTTTTTTTTCCCTGCAGTACTTTAGAAATTGTGTAAGATAAGATTACTTTTTTCCAGATCTTGAATTAAGTTTTTATTTTTATGTTGATTATATTAAGTTTATTTTTCTTACCTCATTGACAAATTTTGATTCCATTTTTTTGTCACATTTAGTTTCACAGCAATAAACTTAATTTAATATATATATATAATCTCTAAAAATAATCCTTAATATTTTACACTGTTTTGCATTTCAAGTAAATTTACTTTAAGGTTGTTTATTTATTTACTTACCTATTTTCATTTTTACTGGAAAATATAACAGAAAAATTGATTTACAAATGATTTATATATGTATGTGTATATATTGTGTAAGTTTCTGTTAGTTTTATCTAGAAGTCATCAACACTTTCATTTGTTTAATGCATCCTGAAAGTGGCTCTGTGTTGGATCAGCATTTTTTTTTAAATCAGATAAAGGGATGCAGTTCTTGTCTTTGATGTGTATGGGGAGTCTGCATTACTGAGATGATGCAGAGAAGTAAATTACAGCAGACACTACACAGGAGTGTTTGCCTTTCTGGATGTTTAATTTGCATATCAAACCCCTGAATCACATCAGCTTTTGGGCTCACATGTTGTGATGTTTTATAGAAGAGGATCATATAATGTTGGGCTCAGCCGGTAGCTGTGGAAAAATCCTTCATAAAGTTGCACTGGAACAGCTACACCAGTGTTTTGGGAATATTCCATGAAGTGTTGGCATTGTGAATCCAGAAAGAAGCAGACACTGTTGAGGGGTGATATACCTGCATATACCCGTTTCTTCTTTCTGTCATGTGTAGATGTCTTGTTGTCTGTGTGTCACTCATCAGGGCCTGTTGTTTCTTCAGTCTTTAAAAATCCATCGTCATGTTTGAGCTGTGCCACTGCTACAGTTCCAGCTGCAGCGAGAGCATGTGTCTGTATTTCTCTCATTCTCTCTCTGGAGCTGATGACGTTTAGTCAAGATTTTTACATGCCATTATTAATTTTAATGCTTTTAGTTTGGCTTTATATCATGATTTTAGCTATAACGTCAATTTCTTCTACTGTTTTCATGCTTTGATGCACCACGTTAGGCCTTAGTCTTGAATGTTTTACACAATCTTTGCATTTTGATGAAAGTTTTTCAGTGCAGGCTGAAATTTTGGATATGAAGTGGTTGAAGAAGACAACGTTAATGCCAATTATTTGTTTTAACTTTAGCATATTTATTTTTTTCATATTTATCATATTTTTCTTTTTTATTTAAATTTAAATGGCCATATACAGTGGCCCAACAAGAGTATTTTAAGACTTTTGAACATGTTTGAATTTTGTATACATGATATAACATATATAAATTATACAAAATTTTTTCTCACAACTAACTTTACTCTTCTTTTTGCAATGACCAACTGGTCTTGAGGTGATTTTTAATAGATGTATGAAGTCACTGATGTATCACAGTGTCACAATGCTTTTTTTAAAATAAATTTTAAAAAAAAATCTACATTTTAAGCAATATCAATAATTTATTATTTGAAACCCAATCTGGCTTTTATAAACTATTTATCTGAAGTTTTTTATGCTATGTGATTCTACTGTGTTGCTTAAATGTCCAGATATTTTTAAGTCAACCATATATCAGCATTAATAAACAAAAGTGCACAGAGAATAAGCTGAAATTTTAGAGCCTTGATAATATTTTGGTTACTTCCCCCTTTTTGGTGCCATTCGTGATGAACTTAATTTTGCACCCTTTTTTTGTAGTATGTAACAATGTTTCTTGCTTTTGTAGTCTCCCTTTGACATGATATTGGTTATTTGCTGTTGAATATATTGTGATAGGAGTACGGATACTAAAAAATTCAGACTCCCTCTCTGTGTGTCTCTCCACAGCTGTCTTTATCTGAGGATCAGAACCACCTCACACACAATGGCCTGGACTCAAAGGAGTCCGTGTATCTGGTCCAGATCTGTTGCCAGGTAAGCTTGTTTCACAGAGAGAGAAAAAAAAAAAAATAGAACCCCTGAAGGCCTTTCTGTGTGACAGAGGAGAAGAAATATCATCCCAGGATCACTGATTTGTTATGGCAACAGAGCGAAAGCTAAGCCTAGGAAAAA